CATGTAGAGTTTTTCTGTGAGAGTGGTTGAGGCCCCAGCAGAAAGGTCTAAGCTTTCTGGAACCTTATGGAAAGAACATTACTAACAGGTTCCAATTAGAGAGAACCTCGGAAGCTGGAGCTAGTGTACCTCCCAGTAAGACTTCAACAACTGGACATGAGAATTAATAGGATGTGTCTGGGCCACAGCACAGGCAGAGGAAGGAGCTGGGTGCCCTGGGAGAATGGGAAGAGGAAAAGGAAGCCCCTGTAGAGAGATGGACTTCCGGGGGCAGGTTTCTAAATTTGATATCACCTGGAGTTGGCTGGGTATCCCTTTCCTCAATAGTAAAATCACCTGAGGGGATTTTAAAATAATAACACCCAGACCTCACCTCCAGAGATTTGCAAGTTAGTCTACTTTAGAGCTTCTACCTTGGAATTTCAAAGGTTCTCCCAGGTATTCTAGACTGCAAAGCACTGGTCTCATCCCAGCATTCCCTGCAGATGCACAGGTAAAGCAAGGACAGGGAGGAGGGAAAGGGCAGCTCTGCCTAAGGGGGCAACCTTGATCAGCCAGCAGAAACCCAATCACCTTTGTGGAAATCTGGAGCCCGTGTCCGCCAGGCCTTTTTGTTCCCTTGTTTTGACTATTCATTTCCTCCAAAAGCTAAAAAATCTGGATTTTTTTAGACGTTAGCCCCAACTATCTCAAAAATCCCATGCCAAACAAAACATGTCTGCAAAGTGTTCTGGACTCCGAGGCTGTCATTTAGCAGCCTCTGGGCCAAGCCAGTGGCTTCACACTTTTTTTTTTTCCCTAAGCCACAGGAGGCTTTGACCAAGCAAGTTATTTTATACATTGCCATGGGTTGAATAAACCTAAACAGTGCAGGTCCCCAACAGGTCAGGAATATCTATGCTCAGCCTCCCCTTGAAGCTGTTCTGAAGTTCTGGTTTTGATGAGGAAACTGGAGTATTGGGAATACAAACCCAAGGAGCGCTCAGCTTATGTGGCCTCCTACATACGTGTGGGCGTGTTTGGAATTGTCACCATGACGAAGCTGGTTTTATGGCATTTTGTGGCTAGGGGCCAAGAATTCGGAACTTCCTGCAAGACAATAAAGTATCTTCCCACACAAAATGCCAATAGATCTCGACTGGAAAACATCAAACTGAGGAAGCAGAAACCCAGACAGGTATCATCTGTCAAGATCATGGTAACTGTCCCTGGCATGCTTGCTTCTGTCCTACAGACTTAATGACTTGTATCTCTGCCCAGTGAAGACTTTGCTGGATAGGCTTGGGTTGGCCATACCCGTAACACAGAGGAGAAAGGGATGTTTTAAAATTAAAGCCAAATAGCTCCTAGAGGAGGATACCATGGCATAAAAAGCTAACCTGGGGTTTGCCATGAAAACTGGAATTGAGCTGGGATAGCCGTATCTTGCCAGCCAGCCCAGGGCCAATGGTCAGTGTTGGGGAGTAGTCACTGCAAGGAGCAGAGACTTCCAGAAAACACATGGGTCAGGGCAGTGGCACAGGTTTACTCATCCCATTAGTCATTTAATCTCCAGACCAAAGCATGCCAGGGTCAAAAACCAGATACAGGATCAGAGAGTGCAAAGGCGCTTCCCCCAGCCCTCCGAGTGACAGAGCCAAGGAAAGCTTCTCGTTCACCACGCCCAGCAGTTCACCAGACAAGGCAAAAAGTATCCAGAATTACAGCCATGAAAGTGAGATTTAGTCCGGTGTTTGGTGCTACCACCTTCTAGCGATCTGACTTTGTGCTTACCCTCACAATCCCCATGCCAAAGCCCAAGGGAGAAATTTCTATGCCTGGGTGACAGTTTAAGCAAGCAGTTCTCAGGCTACAGTTACCAAAATTACACAGAGGACCTCCTGAAAGCACAGGAGAGTCTATTCAGCTGGACAGAGCAGGGCTGTCATCTCTGTCATCGCTCCAAGTTATAACACCCTTGCTGGTCTATGCCAGGCCAGAAAGATACTAGCTGCTCTCCTATTTCCAAGCAATGTCAGGTCACCACCTGCTTGTAAATGTGTATTCTCTCAGTTCATGGTAAAGAAGAGACAGCATGGGGTATCATGTCATAAAGTCAGTCTCCCATGATTTGGGGATGGTGTCCCTCATTAGCAATGTTTGTCTGTTTCTATGACATAAAGTGTCATACCATGACCCATTTCAAGGTGCCAACGTGATTACATCAGAGACTGTAGAATTCAGCAAAGAGGATGTATCAATTGTCCCTCTTCCAAAATAAGAGCTCTTTTCCTCTAAAATATCCAAAGCTGGGACATGAGACAGACTAAGGTATATTGATTCCTTTCTCATTGCTGTAATAACAATATCTGGCAAAAGGCAACTTAGGGGAGGCAGGGTTTATTTGGGCGCACGGTTTGAGGGGACATAGCCTGTCACAGCAGGCAAAGGCGAGGCTGCGAGTAACTAGTGTAGCTGGTCTCACTGCACTTGCAGTCCTGAAGTAGAGCACAGATAGAAAGTGGGTTGGGTTACATCCCACCAAAACCCACCCCAGTGACCCACTGCCTCCAGCGAGGCGCTAGCTCCTGATGTCCCAGAAGAGTATCACCAACTGGGGTACCAGTGTTCTAATACATGAGCCCATAGGGGCCACTTCATAATCCAACTACCACAGAAAAGGAACAATACATTTTGAATGTACTCTTGTATGAATGGGGCTTGCAGAGTGCAAACATATCTATTACCACAGTTCTATCATGATCTTTGAAGAGCAAGAGATATGACTTTAAATCTCAACTTTGTGTAACCTTGGCTATATCTCAAACCTCTGAGGGCCTCATATTCCTCACAGCTAAGCCAGAATTAATGCCTTCTTTAAAGGGAAACCATGAGGACTCAGAGATATGCTATGCGTAAATATGTAAAGTACTTGGCAACCAGTTCTACTTAAGAAATGTTTGTGCTCTCTCTTCCTCCCCCACACCCCACATATTTTTAAACCTAGAAAAGACTTCATAATGTCCCATTTAGATGCCTTGTTAAGGAATCAGAGTCCCAAAAGAGGTCAATGGCTGTGCTCAACAGACCACAGGCAGCTAGCTGGCAGAAAAGACGCCATGCACAAAGAGTTTGTCCTCTCCACAGACCGACCTGGAGGTCAAGCTGTGGAAACTCTACAGGTTTACATCAGAGTGATGGTTTATCGAGGATTATTCGCTGTATGAAGTTTCGACAGAAAAAGCCCAGAGATGGCTTCCTGCAGCAACGTAAGGTTTGGGGCTGAGCCGGCCCTACAGAGTTTCTGACACTTTCGCCTTTCCGCTGCGGATGACGGAAACATTTAAAGCTATGGATCGATCGGATCGCGGCTCTACATCCTCATCTTCCCTTCACACCCGCTAATGTGTTTTTCATTTCTCTTGGCTGGCTTGGTTTCCCACGTGTCCTCCCAAGCTCTTCCTCTCAGTTCCCCGAGGGCTTCCCACAACAAACCTGCTTTGGCGTCCTCTCCAAGGAGGGGCTGCTGAAATACATACCGGATATGTCTCTGGCTGTGTTTATCAGCCCCAGCCCAGACTCCTGGGGCTAAAGATGGCTGAAACAAAGAGCCTAGACTGGTCAGGTGGCCCAGTTCTTCCTACATTCCAACAATTCAGGGATCATTCAACTTTGTCATCATTTCTCCAAAGACCCTGGCAAAGACTTCCCTTTCTTTGCTTGCTTTCTGAGTTTTGAAAGCATCGCCAGCAGGCCAGTAGTAGTTATTACTATGGAACGCTGTATTTTGCAATAGGCCCTTTACCTGTGGCTTCCTGCTTAATCCCATTACAACCTATAAAGCAAGAGATACCAAAATAGGTACATTGCAAAACTAGAATAGCCCAAGTCTGTTCATGCCAAGTGTTGGCAGGACCTTCCATCTCACCCTTGGTAAGTGAGGAGGCAGCAGCCTTAACAGCAAGCCTGTATGTAGCCTTTGTGGGCCCTGCTTCTGTTCCCATCTGCTCCTTCTTTTCACTCTGGTCTTACATCCCTCCTATGCAAGCAGCCTTGCTTTGTGCAAGCCCTTGGAGAAGATGAGCATGTACAGCTTGTGGGTGAGCCTTGTACAGCAAACAGGGTGGACTAGAAGACATTTACTCCTTAAACTCCCCATTTGAATTAATAGTAAGAAAGACACTCAACAAATACTCTTGATCTTCTCTGTCCCTCCTCCCTTTATCTGTGCTGTGCTACTCTGCTATCCAGTATTCCTTTTAGATTGATACAGAATATATTTGGTGTTTGGGGCAGAGGTATTGCTCTCAGGTAGGACATTAAGTATTCTGTGGGATCTCTCAGCTTGCGTGTGCTAGTGAACTGTTCCTTAGAGAAGCAGAGGTTGTTTCCCAACCTATGCTGGGATGCCACAGCCCCACGCCTCAGTTTTTCCACCCAGCAAAGCCTCCTCTGGTCTCCAGTTGAAATCATCTTCTTTCTAAACACAGCCGCATCTGTGTTTCAGTGGGCATTCTGCTGTCTAGCATTTTACCATACTCTGTGTCTCTTACCACTTACCCTGGCAGATTATTAAGTTGCTCTCTTTTAAGGAACACTTCTTATTTATTTCAATTCACTACTGCAGACCCCGCCCCCCTACCCAACAAGAACAGTTTTCATTTAGTGAACCACTTACTCTGTGTATAAGAGCCTTCAATATCTTATGTAATCTAACATGAATCTACTGAGATGACTAGTCCTATTTCCATTCAAGTAACTATCCACAAAGCATATAGAAGTAACAGAAAGACACACTTCCAACATGGGTTTGTAAAAGTCTCTAATTCTCAATCTGAGGAGTCTCCTAATCTGCACTCTTCTGCCTAGCACAGTTACTGGGAGAGTGGGTCTTCCATAGAGAATGTCAATTTTACTTTCCTAAGAATCAGCATGACTTAAGCACAAAGAGTAATTGCCAAGTCACCAATCCCTCCCCTGCATCTCACTGACGAAGACATAGGAACCAAAGAGAGGAAAGTGCGTCAACCAAAGTTGCAGAGACAGTAGCTGCCCATGCACACCGTTTCCCCTGCGGCAGCCACTTCTCCACCTCTAATTTTCCTAAACACTTTCCACAGGACAGGAATTGCTCAGTATTGGAAAGCATAGGAAGGAAGAGGGTGTGGATGCAGATGTATTTCGTGCTGCTTGATCGCTCTGTATAGGACAACCAACTTCTCTGGAGCCGTACTTTCCTGAGGACTTGTGCATAGATCAAATGCTGGCTTTTCTTTTCCAGTAAGTCAGCCTCCGGTAAGTGAGTCAGCTTGACTCGTGCCTGGGAGTCCGTGCCATGCCTTTGTCTTTCTTGTGCTGGTTGCTGGTTTGTTTGGTTGTTTGCATGGGTACAGGCTCTAGGACCAACGAGACAGCACAGACATACTATTGGCTACTGTTTAAAACCTGCAATTGACAATTTCTACTAGCCTGCTTTCTACCATGTAGCTCATTGAGCAGCCTTCCCTGGCTCCCACCTACTGGATTTCATTAGAATCTCCTTTCCTTGAGTCCTTTTGGAGTTAAGAGTTAAAGGAGAATATCCAAAACTCCAGCTCAAGTCTATGTTTCTAAGGATGTGCCAATCTGACATTTCTAAATATTTTTATGGCTTCCATATATTTCATGCTTTCAATGTGACAAGCAGTAGCTAATGATTTAATGCACTTATTTCTTAACAAAAATCCTATGGGAAAGAAATTCTTCCTATGAGTATTAGTTAGGGTTCTCTAGAGAAAGAATCAACACATGTGTATACTATCTCTACAGAGAGACATATAGATATATCAGAGAGAGGTGTGTGTCTCGGAGCTAAAATAGCAGGGCTCTAAGGAGAAGTGAGTAGCCGTGGGGAGGGAAACCAATAAGCTCCAGAAGTTTAGGATGAGGGAGGAGGTGAGAAAAGCTAGCTAATTGTAATACTGAGGGATACTGGGGGCCAAAATGTACTTTGCTATGGTGAGAGGCATCACAGGGAGCCATCTGTCCCTTTTGCCAGTGACAAGTGAAATGGTTCCTCTGGTAGAGGCGAACTGGCTTTCTGAGAAATTTGCCAAACTGCCAGAATTTGTAGAAGCGGAGTTTCTTTTGGCCCTGACACTTAGGTGGCATGACAGAGCAGCTGCCTGCTTTGGGACTCATTGTGTTTCCTGGTACTGTCCCCAGGTGCAAGCCGCCTGAAGTTGCCAAGCCCTCCAAGAAGAAGTCCCTCAACTCCTGGTGTTTCAACGTTCTGGCTTACTCCTGACTGTCATACTTCTTCCCTTAAAGAGTTCTCAATGAGACTCTTCAATTTTGTGTATACACCGGAAGCTGAATACTGCTGAGTCATGCTACAGAAGCTGCCACACAAGAAAGAGGAATTGCTGGAGCCATGGAGATTGCCATGCCTGACAACCTGAGTGATCCCTGTACCCCACATGATGGACCCACAGGTTATACTCTGACCTTCATGCATGCACCATGACATGCTCACCCGAACCACATCCCACTCAGCCCTGCGTGTGTGTGTGTGTGTGTGTGTGTGTGTGTGTGTGTCACACATAATAACAATATATCAATTTAGAAGGTAGAAAGGAGACAGGATAGATCAGGCTGGGGATGTAGCTCAGTTGTACTTGCTGACAAGTACAAGGCCCCGTGTTCACTCCCCATCGCTGTGTAGGCACTGTGTTACACAGCTGTAATCCCAACGGTTGAGGTGAAGTAGTAAGACAATCAGAAGTTCAAAGTCCTTCTGGGCTACAAAGGAAATTTGAAGCAGCCTTGTAAACATGAGACCCTGTGAAGAAAAAAATGAGGAAGGAAAAAAGGGAGGAGGAGGAGAGAGAAGGAAGAAGAAGTGGAAGAGGAGGAGGAAGAGAGGGAGGAGGGGAGGAAAGAAAAAAAAAGAGGCAATAACATCAGGCTCACATGTTCTTGTATTCATCAGTAGCCAGGAAAATTAAAAACAACTCAGGCCCAGTAAAGACAGATGGTCACTCATGGGCCAGAGCTAACCCACAGATGTGCTTTACTTGACCACACAATAGCTCTAAATGTTTTTGAAATTTACTGCTACTGCTTAGGAATTGTGTTGATATGTAATAAATTCCCTAGAGCAACTGCTCTCAGCCCACCTGCTCACCCTGCCTGATTCCTGAAGTGACAGGTGGTATTTGCAGCCTAGGGTCCTGCAGATGGGTAGCATGTGTGCCTGGTCCTCCCTTGCCCCACAATAGCCTTTAAAAGACCAGTAAATGACAACCTTGGAGTGACCATGGATTCTTCTGTCTGCATGACAGAGCCAGGTCCTGTAGTTGCTCCCGTAGACCGTAGCCTCTCTCTTGTGCTGCCTTCTTTCTGGACACAATTCTCTATGTCTATCTCCCTTTGAAAAGTGTACATTCAGAGTCATGCACAGTGCTCCCCAGATCTACTTACCGATATAGAAGATTCAAAGATAGATATCTTTCATATTTATGTACCATTATTTTCTACTTGGCGTCTAAACCATCAAGCATGATGACAATCCAAATTGAAAGATTTGTAGCATATGAAATTGATTCTTTCCCTTGAAAACAGCAAAACAGAATAGATTCCAGAGAAAACAGAACATTATTTCCTGAGAGGCACATCTCTAACAATGTGAGAGGAATGACAAGCATCTTGAAATTGTTTTCTGTTTATAAATGTAAGCAGAGAGAATCGTCTAAGGAATCTACTTATAAAATCTTATAAAATGTTGCCAACATAACAGCTGGATGGAGTTATAGCCTGTTTTTATCTGCTTCCAGAGTTTATCCAGGTGTGTGTGTGTGTGTGTGTGTGACTGTGTGTGTGTGCATTGTGTGATGAGTGTATATGGTATGGTGTGTGTGGTATGTGTTGTGTATGTGTGGTATGGTAGGTATAGTATCTGTTGTGTGTGTGTGAATGGTGTGTGTGGTATGTGGTGTATAAGTGTGGGTATTGTGTGGGTGTGTTGTGTGTGGTGTATGTATATGTATTCGTGTATGATGTGGTTGGTGTGGTATGTGTGTGCTGTGTATATGTGTGTGTTTGTGAGTGTATGTGTGTTGTGTTCGAGTGTATGTGGTATGTGTGTAGTATGTGTATGTATGTGTGGTGTATAGGAGTGTGTTTGTGGTGTGTGGTATGTGTGTAAGTGTGTGTGTGTGTGTGAGTGTATGTGTGAGTGTATTTGTTTTCCCTATGAGATTAAAACCTCACAAATAAAAAACGAGACTAACAAGAGACTCTTGGAAAACTCTCTGGCTATAAAACCTGATGCCCTAGAGACTTTCTCTATCTGCCTCTGGCTTTTGGGAGTTCTTGGGGAAATTGAGAACCACCCTGGTCCTTAAGGTTCTTATTGTGCAATGGAATTGTTTAATTAGTTTCCACTAACTAGGGCAGTGCATCCAAAACAAATGTTCTTCTTGTGCTGCCTGAAAATGATCCTCTGGACTATTGATAGTTCTGTGTTCCTCTTAAACTGACTGAGGCAGTCTCTCAATTAATCTCGGGCCAACAGAAACACAACATTGTAGGTGTGGTGTGTTAATTATAACTTCAATATGCATTGAAATAAATGCTGAAGAATCAAAATCAAAGCTGTTTTTGCCACTTACTCCTTAAAGCCATTTAAAGAGTCTTACATTTGCACATATCTCCTTAGAAATACTCTACTTTGGGTTCACTGATGCACTCCAAGAAGCCCCTAACATTGCATTCAAATTATATGTGTGTGCTTCAGGGAGGTCAGACTAATTCTGTGTGCTTCTCAGTCGTCCACAACATCCTTTAAGAACAAGAGCCATTATTGCCAGGGGGTCTCAAAGAACCCATCAGGCCCTTTTAGGGAAGCAACTGAAAAAAAAGGACCACAGCTTCTAAACTCCTTGCCTTCAGCCCCCCCCTTTTTTTTTAGCAAATATTCTCCCATATTCCTTTCTAAACGTGGCTAAGGACATGCTGTCCACTTCATTGGTGGGTGAGAATGGAAAGAGACTCTCCTGATTGAGCCTGGGAACTCAACGGGGCACAGCCTAATCTTGGCTCCATCTTTGTCCCAGACAAGATTGTCTTTGACGCATTGGAATGGCAGTGCCCTGGGGAAAGGAGAGAGATTTGTACTTCAAGTGACCTCTAGAATACTTGGCAAACACCCCTAATACCACACTCCTACAGAGAACAGCTTGGGCAGACCCATTTCTTTATTTTTCCGTGGACTTGGATGTTCAGCTCCACAGGACAGTTGCAGAGAGAATTGTAACATACATCTCCATCCGGAACTTCCTTGCCTGGAAGACCTGCCTGCTGTGTCTCCACCTGCCTGCTTGGCAGCTTCCTGAATTTCCATGTGTCCAGCCTGAATTGTTAATAATGGCTTCACTGGCATACCTATAAAAAAAACAAAAAAAGCAAAAACAAAAACAAAACAGATCTTCTCTGGTCCAGGAAGATGCACATATCAATAAGAATGCAACAGACTCTGTATTAACCTTGCTCTTGCTCTACCATAATCAAGATTCCTTAGAATGGCCAAAGCTATGTATAGAGCCTAGTCCAGAGAGGGGTTCAAATAGTAACTGATAAATATGTAGCAATTGTTGAATAAAGGGATTCCAACTTCTGTTCAAGTTAGTCATACAAGGCATTGTGGGTGTGGTATCAAGGAATACTTCCTAGAGCAGGTAAAAATGAATGGAAACTATGGTCGGGTATAAATTTTGCAACATAGGAAGCTATGCTATCATGTGATGGAACATAGGGTCCTGGAGTCTGGCACCAGAGGATGTGTGAATTCTGACACTGTCATGTGCTAGGTTTTCCTCTGCAGACCTTACTTAACTCCTCCAAGCCTGAACTGCTTTACCTACAAAATAAAAATAATAATAGAACATACCTATGAGCATTAAATGAAACACACACACACACAACACATACACACACACAAACAAACACACAGACACACACACACACAAAGCATCCTGGGGGTCATCGTCACCGCCAGCATCTAGGAAAGTAGGAACGACAGGTAGAAAGTTGAGGAAACAATGCCCCAAGGGAGACTCAACTGGCCTGTGGTTTCTATAGTGAGCAGCTCACCTCAGTGACTGCCAGGGAGAAGTTGCACTCTTCCTGGCAGACTTCAGAGTGGCACTGCAGACAGAGCAACATCCACAGCCTCTTAGGAGCCTCGATCCTAATCAGCCAGGTTGCCCGTCTTACCTGTGGTCGGGCTCAGCATCTTTGTCCATGACCGGACAGAGTCTGCAGATATGAGTGTCCCAGCATCTGCAGGGCCTGGAGGCAGCCTCTTGTGGCTACATTTCCTTCAGGGAGAGTTAGACAAGGAGTTTGTACAGCTACAGTATCTAATCAAGAACAAAGGAGGACGCAGGAGGACCTGTCAGAGCTGTTTGTGAACTTTTGCTTCTAGGTGGGGCCCTCTAGGTCTGAACATCTCTAGAGTTGGCATCTCCGGCTTACAGGCTCAGGTGGGCAAGTACATTCCTTACATCTTTATTACCTCCATGCCAGTCTGAATCTGCTATCTTTCCTTTGTCACATGTTTCACCACTTGATATCACTGAGGCAATCTTTGCCACACTGTAAACACATAGTATTTGCCAGATGTTGGGGAAAGTGCATGATGATAAAGATCTGGTGTGTACTTTGAAATGGTGAAAGTTGACCTCTCTGGCTTGGGATGCAGGCGAGAGTGACACGACAGGGAGAGGATTGCGCTTCACCTCAAAAATTAGAGTGAAATTTCCCAAGAAAGGCTGAGCAACAGAGCATTGCGAAGCACAAAAGACTGATGATGTTGCGATTTGGAACGCTGAGAGCATTTGAGAACTGGGAAATGCAGCTCTGATTGGCTGGGGGGTCTGGAAACGTAATGAGGAATTACAGGTTACTATGTGGGGAGAAGCTTCTCAGTGTCACAGAGTTTTGAAAGCGATGCCCAGAAGCACTCGCTGGCTGCCTGCGTTTACATTCTCATTCAGTCAGTGAAGCTCTGGATACTGATGAGATCCAACAAGTGCTTTCGGAGGAACGCTGCCATGACCTGATGTGCAGATTTGGGATAGGTAGGAGGCTGAGGTCTGAAGCCAGGATCATGGAGCAAGTAGAAACACAGCTCAAAGCATCCTTAGATATTGCCTTAAATCCACAGGCAGGCAAGAGCCAGAGATGAGGTCATTTTGGCCACATAGTTGAATGAAAGCATGAAAGAGAGAGGTAATGCCACTGCCTGCAGCAGAAGCAGAGAGGTCGGGAGGGGGAGGAGCAGGAGAAACTTGGTACACAAGGAGAATTACATAAGCCCGACCTTGTCAGGACTCAGATTTCCCACTGGGTGAACGTTTATGAACACAGAAGAGGCAAAGTCCTGAGGACACCTGGAAACATAAACTTCAACTCCAAATGCGAGTAACTGCTGGAAACATTTTAAGAGTCACATTCAGGATGCCAACTCCATGGAAGGAGTCTACACAGGCCTGGGAATCACGTAGTCTCCACAGTTGAGTAAACTGCCGTTTATTGTGTGTTTGTATGTATGTGTGTGTGCGTGTGCGTGTGTGTGTGTGTGACTCTGGGCAACTCTTACCTCATCAAAGCCTCTGCTTTGCCATCTGCAAATAGGAATGATAGTATATCTACCACATGGCGCCTTTGTGAGACATAGTGTGTGTACATGAAGCCGTCAACTTGCTGTCTACCACACAGAGAACTCAATATACACTGATAATTATGAGCAATATGTTGTTACTTTATGCAAGACTGAGATTAAAATATGAATACATACAGAGTCCAAGTAGAAAGAGAAATAGCGAGAACCGTTCTCCACCCAGAAGCAACACTAGCTATTCACATTCTGCAAATTACTGCCAATTTTTTGAAAGGAAACAGGATTCTAGATTTTTTTTTTTTGAGGATGAAATTCCAATTTTGTAAGTGTTAACTCCAGATTTAAATTACAAAGAAATGTGGGCCAAACAGAACATACCTGGGGAGTGGTGGAATCCAGTCTAAGGCAAGCTTCCAGCAGGAGGGGAAGCTTGAAATATATTTATCTTAGGTGACTTTGAAAGATAAAGCAGCCTGTGTCTAAGGGTTAGGAAGTCTGGTCTTGGTGGTGTTGGGGAGATGATGTTTTTAAGGGTTCTCAAGGGGTCCAAAGCTGGACGAACTAAGCAGCAGGGAGAAGTTAAAAGTGCCCATGTGCAGAAAGACAAACAAGAGAAGTGGGAAGACTAGTAGAGACAGAAACCAGTTATCTGACCTGTTAATCCACTGGCTAGTTAATCAACTTCACTAACATGGAGGTTTAACCAGAGCATGAGGCTAGGGAACAAAGTCAGAACTGACCTAAGTATGTGTCTGTCACCCTAGCCTGTGACTTTTTGAGTCCCAAAACCATGGGCGAGAATTTGAAGTTAGCTCTCTAAGTTATAGAGAATGGCACAAGCAAGCCAGAGTATTAATCAGGAGAGCCAGCAGGTGCAGAGCATCCTGCCAAGGGGTGGCTAGGCATTCCAGGGCTTATGTCTCAAAGACAAGAAGGTCAGCACATGTCTAGCAAGGGCCGAGAAATTGTGCTGGTACTAGGAAGCAGGAAAGAGAGCATTTATTTTCCTTCACATTGCTGGGGAATATAAACGCTGTGATTGCTCTCTCTTTCTGCATACATATGTGCCGTGGCTTCATGATGCATTTCAGAAAAAGACATTCTTCAGTCTTTTCTCAGCAGCAGATCTTTTCCTTTAAAATGACATCTTACCCTAAACCCCAACATATGAAATATAGTTTGTAAATGAGTGACTTGTCTATTCTTTAGTCATTTGAATCTTTGCTTTTGACAGGATAGATAGATAGATAGACAGACAGACAGACAGACAGATAGATAGATAGATAGATAGATAGACAGAGACAGACAGAGAGACAGAGAGAGCCCTTGGACATTCCTAATTGGGAACTAGGATCCTTTGAAGCACGTTATGGAAACCATTGGTGTAGTCCATTCTTTCTGCGGTGTTGAGATTCTCTGTGATGAGGAATCACTGTCCACTCTCCCAGTCTGAGAAGCACACAACCAAGTCATCTCTTAGCATTTTATTGACAGCTGTGAGTAGGTGGTACCTTGCGTATTAGAAAAGGAAAAGTGGTATATGGGGACCTTGTGCTCACCTAGGCTCTACAGACATTAGCCCTATTACATGAGCCAGCATTTCTGGTGCAAGCCCATAGGGTTGACCATGGCTGGCACTTCCCTTGAAGATCTTTAGAGGAATAGGGGCTGCTTACAAAGAGCAGGAATCTTTATGTGAGGCTCTAAAAAGAGAAGGAGGATAGGCTGAGCCACAGGCCATGCTCCATTCCCTGCAGGGATTCTGGAAGGGTCCTTCCTCTTCCTGGGCTGCAGACTCTCAAACCATACTGGAGGGATACTGTGCCCCACAATCAAAGCCTAACGCTGTCTTTATAGCATATGACCAGATACTGTGAATAAAAAATGTAAAAATTGTAAAAATTCATGGGGAAGGGAGGTAAGAAACAATCCAACTGCAAACCCAAACGCCATTCAGGAATTCTTTTAGTCCTAGCGGCTGTATCTTCTCATGAGCCCACCAGCCTTCAGCATCTGTTGCTGCCTCCTTTGATCATGCTATGCCAGCCTAGCCAAACTTAAAGGCTACGTTGGTTCAGGCAGCCACCATCTAAAGCACCGTGTTCCTGCAAGACAGGGCATTTACACCTCACAGGCTGCCTGCCAGCCCATCTAGCTAGCTGTCTCTGGGTCCAGCCATTACTCAGTACCACTGAGATGCCAAGGTTAGACCATGCCAAGAGCGCAGATGTCGGCACTGTCCAGAGATAGGAAGCAGAACAGCAGGCTCTTTGCATGACTTACTTGCTATGACTACAGGGATGAGAAAAGCAAATACCGAATGAGATAGAGGCTCCATGAGTTTGAAGCCGATGGATGTTGCAGAAGAACGTTCTTTCTCCTCTCCAATTGATGACAGATGTTAAGCATGAAGAACATGCTAGCCAGTGGGCCTGCAGAAGGTGAGCCCAGCTCTACCCTTCTGTGTGACATTCAGTCTTTCAGTAAGAATGACTGTGACAATAATGCCTCCTGAAGGGGATTGTGAAGGGTTAAGTGAAATTTCAAGTATAAAGCCTTTAGCACATGGCCTGGAGTGAGCAAAAGATAATATTTAGTTTAAAGGGAAGAAAAGAAACCTACAGAGAGTTCTCCTTCTCAGAAAATGTCCTCAGAGAAGAACAGAACAACATTGCAAGAGGAAATCCAAGTTCTGGGGAAACATGAGATGTCAATGTTGCTCTCTAAGTGTATGAACTAGATGTGGCTCAAAGGTGACGTG